CTACACTTTAACCCAAATATACAATCTCTGTTTGCAGTTTCTTCTTCGTTAAGAGTAAGTTCATGTGAAATTTATTTAGCAGAGGTTTAAATAACACTAGCTGCTAAGTATTCGGATTTGAAATTTTGTACATTCACAAGAACTCGCATGTGCAAAATTGCCATCGAAAACAGAGGTTGTTTTTGAAATGTATGCCGTAACAGCTCATAACAAAGAGCTGTCCTATGAAGGCAAAATTGCCCGACTTATGTCGCCTTAACATACTAACATTTTAGCCATATTCAGAAGCAAGTGATATCTTAAGTTTTTTCAGAGTTCAGAATTAAAAAAAAATACTATTACCATGTGCAACCATGTCCTGTACTATGGTAGTCATAAAAAACTGTGTTTAAAGCTTGCTGATGTGAAAGCTGTCAGAGCCAGGTGCCCAGCACTTGCAAGATCCATAACTATAACCTTCTGCCTGTTAAGAATTATAAAACATCATCTGATTCTTAAAAATAACTAAGAGATCAACTGACAACAAGCAGGGTAAAAGAGAGCCCGATCTTGCTGTTACTGAAACCAGTGACAGCTTTACTAACATCAGACTGGGCATTTGAAAGTGTTAACTGCAGAAATTCTTCTTTTACTTGTAAAAGTTGATCATCTTCACCTTCCTACTCTACCGTGGTACCAACCAAATTTAAATCACGGGTCTTTATTTCCTGAAGAGAAGTATTTACTCCATGCACTGAACAATCTCTAACTGTGTTATCTAAATTATGTTGGATTCAAATACAAATTCTACATAATTCTGCAACTGAAATCCAAACCGTATTGCAAAGCCACAAGCACAGCCCCTATAGACCAAATGGCAGCTGCATGCCCAGGCCCGGGAACTTGCTCCAGTGACTACTTACATTGAGTATTTACATTTTCATGACAAGATTCTCCGGTTTATGTTTTCCTCCCCTACCCTCGCCTTTTTATTTCTTCCCAATCCAGAAAGGCATTCTGACATCCTGTAAGTTTATCTATCAGGTTGATGTCAGTGGTGACATCATATGGCATTCAAAACTGAAAAAATAATTTACACAGGCAGTACCTTGACAATTTTTTGTGTTCAGACAAACACGTACTCAATGGAAGGGCACAGCTTTGGCCCCATTAGTCTATAAGTTTACTAATGGAGGAGCATGGAATTTGGCATTTCTTTTGCAAAATCATACTTGAGATACAGTTACACTTTTACCAAAAACTCTATGTTAGCATAAAGGCCATGTCACGTAACATTGGATTCCAGAATGACAGAGAAAAACAGATCCTAAGCTACAAGCTCATCGAAGCCGTTACCGGCACTCTTCCTTGACGGTGGAAGAGCAGGCTTGGCCCATGCACGCTCTCTCCTAGGGGCTCACCACCTACCCTTTTGTGTCCTGTAATCCACCATCTTGTTCTCATTTTGACCCATCTCTTAACAGAAAAACTCTGGACAGTTATCGTAAATACAATTTCACAGTTAGGAAAAATGTATCTCTTGTTTTGACATCAAAATCTACATACATTTGGCAGGTTTCTGCTCCAAAAGTAAATAAGCTAAGTTAGCAATTACCGTATCTTACTCAAAACAGACAAGTGGAATGTTTTAATTTTACTTTATCCTTGACTGATTTTTGGTTGCCTTGCTTGGATAATTTTTTTTATATTACTACTTTTATGCTGAGGTTTTCTTATTTCTTCACATTTTATCTTAGAAAGTAAGGTGGAAAAACATCAGTCTTCTGAAAAATACATAAAAGCAATAAATTCAGTCCTAATCAAGTGGAAGTATATGGGATCAGCGTTGGTCACTGGCAATTTTAGCAACACACTTCCTCCCATGTTGGTTAAACACAGGAGACTGCTCTAGTCTTTGAGCTGCTGTAGGGCAGCTGGCTCCAGCACGTAACAAAACTGCATTTTTTGGAATCCCTTAAATGAGGGCAAAGGTTTGAGTCAGCCTCTGTTGGCATTAATTTGCTTTGCTCCCTAATGACTGAAAAGGGGACAGAGAACATATATGTGAAGACAACGGCACTTAGATTCACTTTATATTATTGAAGTCATCGTTTCAGGCTCTCCCCCTCTGTTTGCACAGACCCGTCCCATCGCTGAGAGCGCCACACCTCCGTGTGAGGAGGAGGCCGGTGGGATGAAGCCTCTTGAGCTTAGACACAGACACATCTCCCTGAAGGTGCTGCTCACACCACGATTCCCCCTGTTCCTCTTTCATTTACTTTTTCTCCTACTCTGTCTTTATTTTTAAAAAAATCATCATCTTTCGTAGGATCAACCATAAGAAAAAGTAATGGCCAAGCTCCCTCCTAGAGGAGCTGCTGTAGGGGCGGCAGGACAGTGACGGATCGCCCCTCGGACGGCAAACACAGGGCGGGGGCACTGCCAGGAGGGAGCCAGGAGCCGCCGTGCTGTGGGACGTGAGCCCTGGGCAAGGCCAGGCTGGCACTACTCAGGAGCAGGGTGAGGTGGTTTTACGGAGCAGCATGGTCATGGTGATGGCCTGCTGGGAACCCTGACCTGAGTACTTGATCTTCGCCTGCCCGTCCATCCACCCACTAAGCTAGCCAGCGAAACAGAGAAACAAGGGGCAAAAGCATGCCACATCCAAAAAAAAAAAAAAGACTGGGTCTATACACTCATGTAATTAAGAAGTCCCAGAGGTTTGGAGGGGAACAGTGCCTGTGAGGCTGAAGCAAAAGAAGGTGATCAGACTTTGTCACAGGCACCGGGCCAAATTACAGGGAGTCACTTAACTCCACCACCGTGCTTCTGCTCCCGCTCCATAATAGGCATAAAACCAAGAGCTGAGAGGTTCCTCTGTGGTTGCCTTAATCTTCTGGAGATAAATGTTATTTAAGGAGCCAGCATTAAAAAGTGGTGTCACTGCTGGCCTTACCTCAGCCTCAGCAATGACTAGAAGCCACAAGTCAGAAGGAAGGACACTCAAACAGCTGCAGCTAAAGTTTGCCCTTAGGTGCACAGAGCTCACAGGACTCAGGTGAGCAGCACGCACTGACGTCCACTCTCGGGATGCTATTATTTAAGCAGCAGTAATGGCTGAACAAAAAAGCCGGTGAAGAGGTAGAAGGCATTCAGGACAATTGCTTCCCAAATACGTTGTACAGTAAAATAATTCCTGTTTCAATAGCATGAAAATATGTTTTCTAAGACACACCAGCCACAATCACTACTGAAGCCAGGGTTGCAACCACTGAAGTCACTAGGTAATTACACTCTCATTTTTGTCTCTCTCTGCTCTCTCCATCCCAATGATCATTTTTAAATGCTTTGAAAAAGTGTATTTTTACTCCTTCAGTAATACAGAGACAATACAGCAAGAGAATATAAGTTTGGTTCCACTCTGCTCTGTATGTCGCTGACAGAATGGCACCTGAAGTGCCACACACTGCACCCTCAGAGAGTGTGCGCATGTCTCCCAGTGCCAAATGCACTACACAGTTGATAAGAAAAAAAGATGGGCAGGAAACACTTTCAAAGTCAAGTACTAAACCTTTACAGCAACACACCCAGCACTATATTTCTATTTCTAAAACATTAACTTTTTTTTTCTTCTCTTTTTTAAATGATCCATAGTATTTGCCAGCACACAAGAGATAAAATACTGGACATAAAAAACAGAGACTTTTTTAGGTGAAAACTGAGCTAATTATAGGAAATTCACCCAAGCGTGTGTCTGCTACAACAGCCATGCCTTCAGTAAAATCTGGGGGCATCTATGAAGCTGTAACCCTTCAGGAAGGCTGGGTTTGACTTGAAAACATCCGTGGTCTGGCAGCGCAGAAAATCTTATTGTTAGTCAACTCAAAAGATCGGTAACTTTATGCACTGCCCACCCATGGCCTGGTGCAGGGAGGACACACGTCTGCTTCCACCCCCTGCTCCGCCCCAGCATGGGAGGACTCCCTGCTGCCACGCCTGGAGAAGATCCCTGTCCTGCTCCAACTGATTGTGGGACCCAAATGCAAGAGCCAGAACAAGGACAGGGCCAACACAGGGAGGAACCGTGGGCAATGGCAAGATCACAATACAGCACTCTCACGCACACCAAATATTTGCATTTTGCCCGCTCGTCTCAGATGTTCTCCAAGGATGCTTATTTAATTGCTGGGTCACAACTGCTGCAGGCTCAAAGCTTTCGGTTCTTTGTGCTCAGAGAAAGTTGTGAAAGGATTCAGTATCCATTCCCCTAAGAGGGAGAACATCTATTTATGGGGCTACCATTACCTGAACTCCATTCACAGTCACAGTGCTTATTTAACACTTTATCACTCCCAGGAAAGAAGTTAACCTTATCAACATAAGACGCTTCTGAACCAAATGTTGATTTCTAGATGCAATCAAGCTTTACAAGCGAGCAACAGCTCCTCAGTAATTCAGACGGCGTGTGTATGCTCCCTTATCCTATTACACCCGCTTCAAGGACCGCAAGGACCAGTTTAACACTTCCCATAATATAAAAGCTCCATAGTTTGCTAACTAAAATGTCAGAAACTGTGACAGCTTGAGGAAACTGCTGAGAAATATGTTGGGTTACAAGCAAGCCCTCCAGCTGATGGGGGAAACTTTCCTCAATGAGGGCTGTTACCAAGAGCTGCTTTCGGGCCACTCCCTCACCTGTGAGAAACCTTTGAGAACACCATGTACAGAATAGTTTGAGTGCAGAAAATGCTGGTGGCACTTTTTAGTTGGGAGGATTTTGTTGGTGACAGAAGGCTTTCAGTTAAACCTGGGGAGATCTTGCCAATGCCTGTGTATTAGCTGTAATGTACGTGTCAAGATTCACAGCTTTCCCTCTAGAGAAATACTCAAGCACCAATCCACATTGTAAGCCAGTCACACAATAATCACATACTTTCCCTGACCTAGCTATAGGTACTTGCAAGCAATAGCTCTGTGATCTCCCATAATGTTCATGCTTCTTTGCTGCCTTTCAGACACACATCTCTGTACTGTCCTATCCAGCCTTTGCTCCATCCCTCCCATCACATGAAATTACATGCTCCCGACTCAGCATAGGACACAGAATAGCCCCATCCGCCTGCCATTCATCCGCCGTGACTCATCCCACAGCACTCACAGCCTGGGATTTGATACAGCACTCTTAATCCTGACAAATGCAGAGCAGCTTCCATTTCCACCAAGTCAAAGGGAGCTGAGGATCCTCAAAACTTTGCGGACTGAGGATTGTAAATTAGCCAGTATCCAGCTGCTTGGCATGGCAGGAGCACAAAGGATGTTAACAATCTTCACACATTAAATAGCCTCGTATTTTCCACACACATCTAGAGCCTGTCCTTTGGAGAGGTGCAGATCTGAGGCTTGCTCCTCACACTGAAAGAGGAGAATACCTCTGCGCTCGCTCAGCCTACAGCCCAAAGAAGTTAAGTCCTACATAGCACTGGGAGCTGCTACCACAACTAGCATTGGCATGCAGCAAAAAGAGAAAAAAAAGTTTAGAAACAAGTCCTTTGAGCAGGTGCCAGCCAGCCCTTACACCAGCTGGATGAAAGGCCTTCCCTCTCTCCCGCTTAGTTGTTCCACATTAAGATTCTCCACCTCCTAATATCAGCGAGGCAAAAGTCTGCAAAACACAAAAATCTGAAGAAGAGCAGCAAAGGAAAGTAGTGAAGGAAAAGCTGTCACATTTGTTTTTCAAATGATGCGGCGCTGCAGCAGAGCTGCTGCCCGGGAGCGGGCAAGGCGCGGAGCCGGCCCCGAGCCAGGACTCACTGGCTGCCCACGGGGAAAGCGGGAAGCGATCCTGCACCGTCAGCCTGGGCCCTTCTCCCACTGCTGTGGGGAGGGAAAAATGCACATCCAGCAGGAAAACAGGCAGCTTCGTGGGGCTTTGCCTGTGTCCTGAGAGACAGTGAGAATAGGTGCCTGTGAGCGCACCCCGATGCATTCACCGTACCTCACAGCTCACAAGACGGGGAAATCCCCCTGGTCCCTCCGTACCAATGTTCAGGGGAGCAAACAGGTATGTGGTGGAAGCAGCCGGCTGTGGTTTCTACCAGTCATTTGAGCAGATTTACTCCCCTTGGAAAATCAACTTTGCAAGAGAATTCTTTCCAGTTCTCCCCATGTTTACTAGATATTTTACTTGTCTGCATGATCATTTCCTTTAGTAACATTTTGCCTTGGGTTTGGGGGTTTTTTTTGTTGTTTCCTTTTTTGTGGGGTCACCAGGGCATCCCCAGAGAGGTGATGGCATATTCCTCAGCCATGCTCTAACCCTGGGATCCCCCACGGGAACCATGCGTGATCCTCAACTCAATCGCTCACAGCTCCAGAGCCTCCTCCCTGTTCTTTCCCCAGTGCACAGCAAATTCAGCCATTGGTGGCCCTCAGCCAGGAGGGTTTTTTCCACCTTAAATAGGACCGTTATATATT